ACACCCGCCAAGCACAGCGCGGGAAGAAACACAGAGAGAGAGAGAGAGAGAGAGAGAGAGAGAGAGAGAGAGAGAGAGACAGAGCAGACGACAAGCGCCGATGCCCGCCAAGCACAACATGGGAAGAAACGAAGAGAGAGAGAGAGAGAGAGAGAGAGAGAGAGAGAGAGAGAGAGAGAGAGAGAGACGTGAAACAAAAATAAAACGCCATCAGCGAGTGTTGCTGTGCGGCACGGCGTGGCCGTGGCGGGTTCCACTTGTTCTACAAAAAGGAAAAAGCGAGAAGTACTGCTCTGTCCTCTTGTAGATTCATCATCACCTTTTTCGATGGGCTCAATCAAATTACCGTCTTCACTCGAATAGAACGCACGCTCATGATAGCTGTACTGTTACCGCAATTGTCAGAGCATATTCACGCAAGGACCTTTTCAACCGAACTCTGCACGTAATTGCGGTCAGGTGCATCCAGGCCCGACTGTAATTGCAATCAGATGCATCCAGGAAAAGTCCTAGTTTGAGCATCCCCTCGATCTGAAGATTCAGCAACAATGACCGTGCGTTCTGATCGGGGGAAACGCGGCAGACGGTTGCCTGATTGATTGAGGAACCGAGCCGATCAATCAAACTACGGTCTTGCCTAGAACACTGCGCACCCTCTCATCGGAGCGGAAAGATGGCTTGTATGCATTCATAATCATGGTGCGTTATGTTCGGGGCAAGACTCCAGCAATTGTTTGATTGATCGCTTAATTGAAGGCATTTATCACTCGCTTGATTGCTTTTCGTTTGATTTCTCTTCCCTTGATTGCTCGTTTGCTTGCTCGTCGCTTGCTTGCTCTCCTGGTTGCTGCTTGCTTGCTCTCTTGGTTGCTGCTCGCTTGATTGAGTGCCCGCTTGATTGCTTGCTTGATTACTCGTTTAATGATTGGTCGCTTGATCTGTTACCTCACAAACACCCCTGATCGCTTGTTGAGTTAACAAGAAATGCGGTAGCAAGTAATATATAAATTGCACTGCACTTCGGGCACCCCACCTGGCCAGAAAGCAGGGTTGTATACATTGCCCGAACTGCAATTCGAAACTGTATCTTGGCCCATAGTGCAATCAGAACTCATTTTTTGTGACCCCCGCGTAGTTTCCCCATTAAAAAAAACACCCGGGGTTAACACGCAGAGTTTACAAGGACACATATCAAAACACGCGAGGTTAACACGTGGAGTTAACGAGGATACATCAAAACACGCGGGTTAACACGCGGAGTTAACGAGGAGAGATATAGAAAACACTAGGAGTTAACGAGGGCACATATCAAGAAAGGCATCAAAAACACGCGGGTTAACACGCGGAGTTAACGAGGAGAGATATAGAAAACACTCGGAGTTAACGAGGGCACATATGCAAACCACGCAGCACAGAGGCCGTAGGCGCGCGGGTTGCTACTCAGTCGATCTTGCTCACATATCTGTACTCAGGAAAAGACGGGGGGCGGCTATATACTGAGTAGAGAAGAGAGGAGAAAGACCCGGGAGAGCGGGAGGATGCCCTTCCCGCCGCGGCATGTAGTAGGAGTTGTGTAGTAGGAGAATAGAGGAAGGACGTCCCCGCTCCTCAGGCACAGGTAGAGGCGGGAAAAAAGCGGGAGCGGGAAGACGGGTCCCGATGCTGCCGTTGAAGATAATACAGTATTAACTTGGAAGGTTGAGCAGGCATTGAAGACTTTGCGAGCATGTACCTTTTTTTTTTTTTTTTTTTTTTTTTTTTTTTTTTTT